ACTACCCCGGGCTGGGCTGTCAGTCGGCTGACAGTCGTTTAAAGTTATATTGGCAAGCCAAATTACGGTCAATTGACAGCTGTCAAAATGGGATATGTGCATAGATTAACTTGGGCTCAGGTTCGCTCAGGTACACGATCTGTCATTTTCCACTACAAGCCGGACGGATATGTCTTACTCACACTCGTAGTCTGTTAATTCGAATATTCGCCATTCTAATGAAGGTTAATTGACAGCTGTCAAACTAGAGTATACGCTGACCATCATCACCTGACTGTATTGCGGGCTCATTTTTCTATCCATTGAGGTCACCCATAGCTTAGAAAATCTATCTATCCTAGAAAATTCGGCAATCACGTGACCTACATCGACCACCCGACCTTCCGTCCGTCCGCACCACAGGCATACCAATGTTTAACTCACACTTTCTAGCTAGTTTGGGAGCCTGCAACCTGATATTGTACATCCATGTTTTGATTAAATGACAGCTGTCAAAATAGTGTTTCTGCTGACCAGTATCGCCTGACCGTATCGCCGGCTCAGGTATCGACCCACTGAGTTTGATTGTTTTTTGAAGTTATCCGCTGACAAGTTGCTACTTTTCAAATGATCGCAGGCTCAAGTTCAATTTTTTTAAAATGCATATAAAATAAGTCGTGTTCATGAGCCGCACTTTTAAAATTTTGATTTCGAACTGACCTCGGACGCGAAAATTCAACCGGCTTTTACATGCAGGGAAGGCAATCGTTTTTTACTTTTCTCACTGTCACGCGTTGATCACGCTCTAAGTCCAATTTTTGTGTTCTGATTGGTCAAAATTTGACAGGTGAGTTCATGCGGAAAATTTATGCAGCGTCTGGAAAATTGTTTACTTTGACAGCTGAAGCTGACAGAGTTTTGTGTCAACTTGTGATGTTTTTAATTGTCTTTTTCCACTTGCTGTACAAAATGAAATACAGCTGCTATCAAGATTGTTCTGTAATTCATGGCTGGTTTGTTTATTGCGCTTTTATTGACAAATGCACCGCTTGTCAAAGTCTTTGGAAATCCGATTTCGGATGGCATCGTTTTCAAAAATGAGCCTACTCACTTGCCCTTGCTTGAGGCGTAAGAGGGTTGAAAAGTCTCAAGCGATTCTGGAACACTTGATGACCTTCAGAAGCAGCATCTCGACTGGTAAGCCTGAGCAATTATTGTCTTTGATGTGTGTTTTTTTTTTCGGTTTCCTGACGTCGAGCGTATTGTTTATGCGGCTTAAGTTTATACACGAGCAATGATCTAACCTACAATAGTATCAGGTTTAAAAATCCTTTAGACGTCTTTTGACCGCAAATTCAAAGAAAAGGTTCCGAAGAATATTTAGTTATGATTTTGGCTGTAAACAGAAAGCTCTGAGCGATTTTCTTGCCTCGAGTTCATCTTGCAAAAGAGCAGACACCGGGAAGCCGGCTTAAAACATAAATAAGCTTTATATGCTTACCTGACTCATGATTTTCAGAGACACTTTACTCTCAATAGTTGTCTTCGTGAATGAAAATTATTGTCTCTGTACATGTTTCACCGAATTATATTTATTTTATTGATTGTTAGTAGTCCCTCTCGCAATTTTTATCGCTGCACCGGTTGTTTCGAGTCGAACATAAACATCGCATGCAGGAATACTCAAAACGCAGCGCGTAAATAATCACTAGCTTTTAAAGATTACACATAACAAGACCATAAACAGTTTTACAAATACAGGGAAATAAAACCTAAACATAACAAAATCTCTATCATGTTGAAGCGTAACTCTTTTAATCGCACTGCAAATTTGGTGCCTGTCAAAAGTGAGAACCCGTCCGGCTGGCCGAAAAGGTGATTTTGGGAATTTTTTTCATCGTTTTCACTAAAAGCCCATAATTATTAAACTGCATATCACATAGGAACAGATTTTTCTAACTGAAAAGTCCCGGCATTATGGAATTCTCTTCATGAAAACGTTTTATAATGTGCTCAATGCTATAATTTGTTGTGCAAAGGAAGGGCGTGCTTTGATCACAGGTAACCCAGGCTCACTGTTAGTGCCACGTTCGGATTTCATAACATGGTTAAATATAGAGAACATATGTGGCGAAGTTTAGGTCTGGAAATTTGCTAGAAAATGGAAATAAAAATCGATGAAACTTATCATGTGGCAAGTTGTTGTTGTCCTTAATGTGTACACGAAGTTTCGGGAAAAATAGTCTGCTTCACCGTTCCTTCATAGTATTATATTTCAGGGTTGTCCAATTATTAGTCTCTCAAACGGAGCAATGTTGGAGAGACTGGTGAATGCCACATTATGATGCAACAGCTAATGCAAATACAATACACTTTCCAGGCCTAATCTACTGTGATCGAACATGATTGCTATTTTTGGGTGTACAAATAAGACTACTAACTCAATGTAAAGTTTGTTTCACTCCTGGACTGTCAAATTATTTTTCTCTAAAATCACTTAGCCTTTGCCTCAAAAGTCACATGAATGTACCCTGATCTGTGGATTGCAAGTTTATTGTTTCATTTAAATTATGAATTTATTAACGGGAGCTTCGCTTTTAGCCCTGGCTAAATCTATTTTATGAAAGCCTAGGCCACAATCACTGTTGTGTATCAGTTACCTCGCCTTTGAGTGGAAGCGAGGCTGTAGCTGACTCTGTTACGATACAACCTTAATGCTTTTTAAATGTAAATTTGGCAACTTAGTAGGCATGAGAACAATAACAGTTATTGGACAAGGTTGAGGAAGATAGAATGATTTGTAAATGTTGCACAGGTCAATTTAATATTTGCTGAAGCGGAAGGCTGAGGCAAATAAATGATCTGCAAGACACTGACAAATCACGGTATTTTGTGATAACCGAGTTCAGATGATTGTTTTATCTTTCAATCACTGGGTTTGTCTTTATGAATATCTTTGGGAAGCGAAGAGATCTGCCATTTTCATGCAAGAGCGATCCCAAGAAGGACAAAAGGGTGGTTTCATTTACGCATTAGTGGTGTAACAATTTAATCGAATTCTCAATTAATCGCGATTATGACCGTTTGGTTTGATTCACAATTCTTTGCTTCCACGTTTCGATTTTAGTTCGATTTTTGCACACCTTTTCCAGGGTGCCCTTAGTGAGTTATTATATTGTATTGCGTCTTTGATTGATGAGCAAAGACAATAGCAGTTTTTGCGCCGTTTTGTGTTGCCTGATGAAAATGCTGTCCTTCAACCACTCCTTGAGAATTTCCAAATAAGGTAAACCATGTGCGATACGCTCTTTGTCAGGTTCTCAAACATGGTGATGAACCAAGTGACTGTGAATCCTCCTGTCGCTGTTACTGTTCTCAAATTGAGGGTTTAGGGTTGCATGTTGTTTACATTACGCGTTATGTTATAAGAGTTAAGAAACATTTACATAATTGAATCGAAATAATCGAAATCGAAAAGCAATAATCGAAATCGAATTGAGTTGCAAGGAATATGAATCGTTACACCCCTATTACGCACGAGCAGAATATTATTGGCAGCCTAACACAGTTGGACAATATTGCACATGAGGAGGCCTTTATTGCTAGGCAGTTATTTACAGGTCACATGGTGGGCTCTTGGCCAATGAAAAAAAATTGTATCGAATGATAAGACTAATTTACATATGAAAAACTGAAAGGTTTGTATTCAAAACAAAGTCAAGTGGTAAGAGCACCCGACTTGTGATCTGCTGGGCCTGAATTCAATTTCCACCCTAACCCTTAGCTGGATTTGTTCTTGGTAGTACTGAGTTCAAATCCTCAATCATGTTTGTAAATAGCCAACCAGTTTGTCTCGTGCCAGATGGGACTCTTAACCCTGTTATGTTCAGTATAGGTAATCATTTGATTTGTAGTCTATTTTGGGATAAATAAGCATGATTAAATTTTTCAAGGACCAACAATTGTTACAAATTTTCACTTGCGTTACAAGAGGAATTGCACCATGCTTTTTACGACAGGATATTCTTTCATGACAGACATATTTAAAGGCCCAGTTTAAAAAAGAAATACGATTGTTATCGTGAACAGCCTTATGGCCACAAGTTATTCTCGTTAATGATATCAAACATCTTTAATTTTTTTTGTCAGTGATGTATTTGCTGTCCATATCATTGGAGTGACCATTAATATGGCAAGATGTCCCAGAGGTATGAGTTGAGTGTATTGCTAAAATTGGAAAAATTGTTTGAGTAATAAAGTGATAAAATTGTTGACAACACGTTTTCTTGGATCCAGGCAGGAAAATGTATGTCTGAAACAATCATAACTGCAGCCATGGTAAAAGGCTTCAACAATTTAATGCTAACAGAGTCAGTCTTAGCCTTATTATTGTTATGTGCATTTCCAAAGAATTATTACCGGTTTGTTTTAATGTACCCAAAGGAAGGACACAGGGGAATAGGGGCAGAAGGGAATGTGGAAGTGGAAAGAGAAGGAGGTGAAGGTTTAAGTGGGGCATAAACCTGAGAGTCAAGTTTGTGGATGACTCGTCTTCCATAGAAATACTACCCAGGAACTCTGCTCAGTTAGGCCTTACCTGACATTCACAATTTTTCTATGGATCACAACATGAGACAAAATCCTGTTAAATGAAAAAGATGTTAATTAACTTTATGTTATATCCTAACTTTTCTCTCAGATCATTAATTGTAGGCAACAACGCTATAGAATGTGTATCGACTTACAAGATTCTAGGAGTATTCAGTGGTGGATCCAGACCTTCAGATAAGGGGGCCGGGGGGGTGGGGCGGTCCGGTCATCCAGACCCTGAGATATGGGGGGGGGCGGTCTCAAAAAAATTTTTTTTTTGCCCTTTGGGCCTCAGTTTGGTAGTTTCGTCTAAAAATAGGGGGTGGGCCCCCCGGACCCCTCCCCTGGGTCTGCCACTGGTATTTATCAATATAAAAAAGCTTGCAAGAATTGAAGCTCTACTCCCTACGTATACTAGGTAGAGCCAACGTATGTTAAAGGTCTATATAAGCTCTGTTAGATCCGTTCTAGAGTATGCCTTGCCTGTGTTGCAATCCATTCCAGGTTATCTGTCTGACAAAATTGAATCCATACAGAAAAGGGCGCTTATGATAATTTTCCTGTGTGCTGATAGCTACTCTGACGCCCTCGAGTTAGCACGGGTGCAGACCCTTGCTTGTGGGAGAGATAAGATATGTAAGGAGTATATGTACAAAATGAAGGACTTAAACCGTCCTCTTCATCCTCTTCTACCAACACGCCTAGACGATACCTGCCCCTACACCCTAAGGCACAAATCAAACCAGCTGTACTTTTATAAAAACGTTACTACCAGTAGAACAAAGCGCACGGAAGACTTTTTCACTTTTAAGTATTTTTAACTATTTTTAACAAATATAATGCATATTCTAATGTGGTGTATATGATTTTTACTTAATGTATAGTTTTCATTGTATTATAACTCGTTAATTCAGTAAGTTACTGGAAGAGAGTCAAATAAACTGTTATTACTTTTACGAAAGAAGGAGAATTAGGGGACAATATGTTAATTTTTTTATATTTTTCAACCGAAAAAGGGCTAAAGGGAGGTAGCGAAAAAATAACATGGGTAGCTAGCGAAATTAGCGTGGGAGTGCTGTTTTGGCGGCGGAGCTGCGGGAAGAGTGGGTACAAGTCAATCAGTGATTGATAAGAGTACTATAAAATCCTCGAATTTCGTGTCGATTGAAAACTTTTTAAGTTGTCTAAAGTAGGCGCAAAATTGAGTAAACGTTGAAGCCATGTCATAAATCTGGCTAAGTTTTTGCTTTGGGATTTCCTATCGTCTCGAGTTTAGCAGAACATCAAATTCCCAGCACTGATATGTTTTAAAGAAAATCTATCGAGGAATTTCGGTTTAATCGCTGTTTTCGTGAAAGTAGCATTAGAATTACAAAAAGAGCTCTGCCATTGCGTTTTACTGATTCACATGTTTTCATGTTTTTTTTTTCGAAATCGCTTAAGTCTACTTGCGTTTAGCCGGTTGTAGAGTGTATAAAGGTCATTTGTAAAACGAATAAGTGATAAAAACTTTTCGGAAGCATCCAAAAAGTAGCAAATTTGTCTGCATTAAGTGCAGCCTTCAGTTCTTGCATAATTTACACTCTTTTTGTAGAAATTCAAAGATATCTCGAAATTCCTCTTATAGATTTTTGTGAAACTTTGCACAACAGAAGACAAGCAAAGTATACGTACGTACGTCAAAAGAAAATGCCGATAAGGACAGAAATTCAATTTAGGGTTAAAACTATTGTGACGTCATTGTGATGACTTGATATTTATTCCGATCGCCCCAAAAATGATATCATAATAAAGTTTAGTCAATGTGTTAAAATGTTTTTACCATAAAAATCAATTTGTTTAAGTACCGTAAAATTCCGAAAATAAGCCCCTCCATGTATAAGCCCCTCCAAATACAAGCCCCCCAAACCGGTTACGCAAAAAACCCTCCGTTAAATCGCCCCTCCAAATATACGCCCCCCCCCGCCCCAGAGGCTTGTACTTGGAAAATTGCCCTCCAACACAAAGTAAAACAAAGCAAAAACGAAAAATTTACTTCCAACTATAAGGCTAGCCCAATCGATTTCCCTCCGTGGATAAGCCCCTCCGAATATAAGCCCCTCAAAAAGGGCCTTTGAAAAATATAAGCCCCGGAGCTTTTTTTCGGAATTGTACGGTGTAAGAGATTCGAAGATGGAAGGTGTACCTACAAAAGTACTTGGTCGAGCTACCTTAAAAACGTCCTGCTCACTCAAATGTGGCACATTGAGCACGTGAGGGCAGGTGGTTTCCTTCGTTTGATTGTGACGGACTATCGTGCGCCCGTCTAAAAAAAGACGAAGCAATGGTTGTGAAATATTGGTTTAGTGATTCCTCAATAGCCTTGTTCTTGGTCATTCAGGTCCTTTCCATCTTCTACCAGGTTCTGAATATAACGACCTTTATCTTTACCGGGCAATACATTGCGAAGTATGTTCCAAAAAGCTTTAGGATTAGTGGCTTTTTTTTTTCGGAGATGACTTGAGGAGTAATTCGTTCTTGCTTTCCTGTCCATATTAGTGACTTGGTTTCGGAGAAGTTTATAGCTATCCCAGGCCTCGGGAAATCCAGAGCTCAACGCAATTTTGTGCGTCCGATCACGTGCCCTCATTACACGTAATACGTCAGTATTAATCCAAGGATGTGTTTTTCTGGTCCTCTGGGACCAGGGTAGGAAAGAAGCCGCCCATCGGTCCCCACCTCACTCCTTCCGCGTTTTAAAGTAGCGTGCTTATTGAGTGTCAAACAAGGCCAGATTATTGGCGAGAGAGACATGTATTCTAGCCGACCGCCTTGCATAAAATTTTCACAATTTTCGGACGTCGGTGAACGATCAACGACTTTTTTTTTAGGCCTTTTGTCAAAGAAAGGAAATAATTGTATTTATATACCAGTAACTTTTTTTTTACATTTCAATCAAAATAAGTTGGGTTGTTTACGAACTTAACAAGAAGATATTCACTTTTTCAACAAGCGATATTTCTAAGAGGCTAAATACAAATGATGTTGCCATAGTAAAGTAACTAACGAAAACTTAACAATATTTACCAGTATGATTAATTATGGCACGTATCCACAATGACTTTAAAAAGAAAAAACAAACAAACAGGACAAGTAATTCGTTTAAAGTGGCAAGATTCTCAATCGAGACCATTTGTTTAATTTTGAAAAGTGTCTAAGGAATTATAGCCTTTTGCGATTTGCCTTTCTATTTCCACAGAGCGTTGAACTATTTGTATGTACATTTCGACATTTGGGCGCGTATCTCTTTGTTTACAGTTGTAAATATAATGCTAGCGATAAGCAGTAAATGGTGCAGTAGTAAATCTTCCGTATCGTTAATTCAGCCGAATAAGAGAGGTTGAATTTTTCTACTTTGGAGATGTTTTACATTATCCATCGATAGCTGTCTTTCCAAAAGGCTTTAGAATATTTACAGCTCCGAAATAAGTGAACTAGGTTTTCCGTTGCTTCTCCACAGAATGTGCAAGAATCAGACTGTTTAATTCCTGTTTTGTGGAGAAAATCATTGTTTGCGATTCGTCTATGTGGAAGTTTAAACTGAAACTCTCTTGGTTTTGTTTCCTTAGTGCACACAAATGCTAATGTGTAAGTGCTGTCCCAACTGACCGTCACGTTTCCTATTAAGTCGTCAGCCAACCATTTACCTTGACTCCTCAGTGGTATTGAAGCATTTTTCTCAGTGAGGCGCTGATAAGCTTTTTTTGCAGAATTTTGTACTTTTATACCTTGTTAGAAACGGTCACATTCCTTTCCAAGTCAAACTGAGTTGCTTTGACATAGGTTATATAAAATTACATTTTTCCCGACTTCGGAAAAGCAAGTCTATGTCCCAGTAGAATTTGACAACCTTTGTGAATCCCAAAAAAACAATAAAACGCGAAGTTCCGGCCTTAATTTTCATCGGCAGAAGGAAGGAAGCTTTTAGTCAAGTCAGGCACTTTATTTTCAACAATTTTCTTTCTTTATTCAATCAGAGTTACACATGATTGCTGCCAAGTACATCCTTGTTTAGCTTTTTTACTACTTAGACAACTACTGTTTACTAAACTTGTACGCTTACATACTAATAACAAAGGTGATTTGTTATAACTTATTACAAATCGTCACAAGCAAATATCAAAAAAAGGAAATATTGAATATCGTGCAACTGTTATCAATTAAAAAAAAAAAACGCACGCACACACACACACGTGCGCAACGTAAACCTTTTAAAAACTACTATTGCATTTACACCGCATTTTGGTCTCTCTAGCTTACACCTACCATTAAAGCATAAAGACGAGCATTAGTTCTTTAGCGTAGCATTTTTTCCAAAAAAATATCTAACAAAAACTCCTTTATCAATTGATTTATTCTTAAAAAGTCGAAATTATCCACAGTTTCGGCGTTTTTAGCGTTAGCTTTTTCTTAGAGCGAATCCTAACGAGTATTCTTGTAATATACAACCTTTAAAGGAATTCTTTGGTGAGCATAACAGCAGGAAACATAGGCAGACGTGCATTGTATACATGTTTAGGCTGGTTTACATGTACGATACACCTTCTAAAAATGGTGGCTAATTCAGTTAGTTTTTTGCGTTCATGATAATTCGCCCTGAATGCCTCTTTTTAAGGAAAACGTTCTTCGAATTCTGCCGATGCAATCAAGGCAAAGAGGACTGATTAACGTACTAAATATAAAAACAAAGTAACATGGCCACCATTTTGGAATAAACTGTGTGCAAGCAGAAAGCATAGGCATCATAAACAGCCAGGTTAGCCCTTTTTGCGGGACAAGACAGGGTAATGTATCTTCATGTGTTGCTTTTCTCCTTATACTCTGTCGTAGGTGTAAACCAGCCTTAATTTGCAGCAAGTGCAGCAGTTCTCTCCTTAGCTTATGTTGCTGCTTTGTTTGTTAATTATTGGCGGAGTATAGTAAAAAGAATAATGAACAGAACACCGAGAAATGCCGGACAAAGCTTCTCAGGAGCGGCTGATGGTTCTGTTGTTGTTGTGACAGAAGAGGTCATCATAGTTGTCATAGACATGGTGGACATCGCATTTGCCATTGTACAGACTGTGTCGCACATAGCCACCGTCTGGTTGTTGTTCGATGCTTCATTATCGGCTGCTGCACAATTAGTGGTGTTCTGTTGCTCACATGTTTGCTGCGTTAAAATAAACAGGAATTCCACAGTCTCAAAGGTTAACGGAACCTCTTTTGCCAGTTATTACGAGGAGGGGGGGTACTCTCTTAAATACCGTAAAAATCCGAAAATAAGCCCCTCCATGTATAAGCCCCTCCAAATGTAAGCCCCCCAAACCGGTAACGCAAAAAACCGTCCGTTAAATCGCCCCTCCAAATATAAGCCCCCCGGGGGCTAGTACTTGGAAAATTGCCATCAAATACAAAGTAAAACAAAGCAAAAACGGTAAATTTCCATCCAGCTATAAGGCTAGCCCAATCGATTTTGAAACGCAAATTTCCCTCCGTGGATAAGCCCCTCCGAATATAGGCCCCTCCAAAAATAAGCCCCTCAAAAAGGGCCTTTGAAAAATATAAGTCCCGGGGCTTATTTTCGGAATTTTACGGTAAGTCATATACGTATGTGCCGTATGCTTTTTGTGCCGTTTCGGTCTGAAAACGCGGGTATAGACTTTGCCCATTGTAGTCTACGTTCGGGAAGAGTTTATGAGGGAACTAATGGAGTGTGTTCCAAATAAATAAGAAAGAAACGGTAATATGCGAATTAGAAACGAATTTTACAAAATTGTTTTTTGGCGTTCTAATATAAGTAACTGAAATATATCCGTAGAACTGTACACAAAAGTTTGAGTGATTTGGCAAGATTCTGCCAACTTCCAAAGAGCGTTGATTTTGTTTTACCCTGATTTAGTATAAGCCTGCTACTTTCCATCCATTGTGCAACTTGATTTAATTCATCCTGTACTACCCTAGCTATGTTCGTTTGGGAAGTGTTCAAATTCTTCCTGCGCCTGACCTAGATAGTACACCTAAAGTCTGTGTCGCTGTTACACGTACACTCTATTTAAACCAGTCATAGATAGCATCAAATAAAAGGAGACCGTAAAACAAATAGATCAGAGTTCTTCCAGATAAATAATGTATATAATACAATACGCAAAAGATTCTCTTACCATCTCAAGGCAACCCAGAGTATATGTCGTGATGCTAGCGACCGTTATTGAAGTATTGTAACAGCTAGAGTTATCGTACGAGCACTGTTTCATCATGTACTGGTCCATCATATTACACCAATGAGTCATGTTCGGTGTGCACTCCCAACACCATACCGCTCCCAGGGCTTAAAAAAGATAAAATCAAAACTGAAATTAATTTTATCATAAGTGCGGGAGGACAAAAAAGTAATTGTAACAAACCACGCTGTTTATACTTTGTTCGCGAAACTTCGAGGTATCCAACAGTAAAGGACGCGCAAGGCTGCTCCAATATCAGAGCAAAGTGACTTCAACAATTTAGATTAGGGCCTGTCTATTTGGAGGTGGGGGACCCCAGGAAAGTGAGGTAACCCGCCTGTCCATACAATCCCTCATATGGTCACCTCACCTATGACGTAAATGTAATCAAATTTAAGATGAGAGATTATATGGACTGGCGGATTACCCCACCTAAGCAATATTTATTAGCATCTACATAACATCCGGCGTATTAGAAAGTATTTATCATATGACAATAGGGAGTCCATTGTACAGGCTATTATAATGTCACGATTAGACTATTGTAACGGTCTATTATATGGTACGGCGGCTGTTCATCTTGGTAAGCTGCAACGCCTGCAGAACGCGGCAGCTCGGCTGGTATGTACTGTATCTAGGTATGATCCTATCACACCATCCCTGATCAACCTGCACTGGCTTCCGGTTACCCACAGAATAGAATTCAAGATAGCAAAGGTAGTTCACAAATGTATCTACGGCGTCGCACCACAATATCTTTTAGACTTGATTAAACTCAAAGAGAGCTCGCGGTATCAGTTGGGATCATACCGGGGCATACTCCTAATGGACAATACCTATAGAACAAAAAAGACGCTAGGGGATAGGGCGTTTGAAAATGCTGCGCCCAAAGTATGGAACCGACTCCCTCTAGAAATTAGACAATGTCAATCATTGAACATTTTTAAAGTTTTACTACAGACACATCTTTTTAAATTAGCTTTTTATTAGTTCTTTTATTACCTTATATTTTACTTTTACTGTTTTCCGAAAAATTGTAAATTATTATATTATTATCATTATTTGGATTAGCCATTTATTACTTTAAGATTTCAGTGTTGTAATGCGCATTCGATCATATCTTTATCGCATGCTAGACTGCGCAATATAAGAAATAAACATTATTATTATTATTATTATTATGAAGATATTCACTTTTTTAACAAGCGATATTTCTATGAAGCTAAATACAATTGATGTTGCCATAGTAAAGTAACTAACGATAACAACTTAACAATGTTTACCAGTATGATTAATTATGGCACATATATTCACACACATATCCGCAATGACTTTAAAAAGAAAAAAAACAAACAAACAGGACAAGTAATTCGTTTAAAGTGGGAAGATTCTTAATCGAGACCATTTCTTTAATTTTGAAAAGTGTCTAAGGAGTTCTAGTCTTTTGCGATTTGTCTTTCTATTTCCACAGAGCGTTGAACTATTTGTATGTACATTTCGACATTTGGGCGCATATCTCTTTGTTTACAGATGTAAATATAATGCTAGCGATAAGTAGTAAATGGTGCAGTGGTAAATCTTCCGTATTGTTAATTAAGCCGAATAAGGAAGGTTGAATTTTTCTACTTTGGAGATGTTTCGCATTATCTATTGATAGCAGTCTTTCCAAAAGGCTTTAGAATATTTACAGCTCCGAAATAAGTGAACTAGGTTTTCCGTTGCTTCCCCACAGAAGGTGCAAGAATCAGACTGTTTAATTCCTATTTTGTGAAGAAAATCATTGGTTGCGATTCGTCTATGTGGAAGTTTAAACTGAAACTCTCTTGGTTTTGTTTCCTTAGTGCACACAAATGCTAATGCGTAAGTGCTGTCCCAACTGACCGTCACGTTTCCTATTAAGTCGTCAGCCAACCATTTACCTCGACTCCTCAGTGGTATTGAAGCATTTTTCTCAGTGAGGTGCTGATAAGCTTTTTTGCAGAATTTTGTACTTTTATACCTTGTTAGAAACGGTCACATTCCTATCCAAGTCAAACTGAGTTGCTCTGACATAGGTTATATAAAATTACATTTTTCCCGACTTCGGAAAAGCAAGTCTATGTCCTAGTAGAATTTGACACCCTTTGTGAATCCTAAAAAAACAATAAAACGCGAAGTTCCGGCCTTAATTTTCATCGGCAGAAGGAAGGAAGCTTTTAGTCAAGTCAGTCACTTTATTTTCAACAATTTTCTTTCTTTATTCAATCAGAGTTATACATGATTGCTGCCAAGTACATCCTTGTTTAGCTTTTTTACTCTACTTAGACAACTACTATTTATTAAACTTGTACGCTTACATACTAATAACAAAGGTGATTTGTTATAACTTATTACAAATCGTCACAAGCAAATATCAAAAAAAGGAAATATTGAATATCGTGCAACTGTTATCAATTAAAAAAAAAAAACGCACGCACACACACACACGTGCGCAACGTAAACCTTTTAAAAACTACTATTGCATTTACACCGCATTTTGGTCTCTCTAGCTTACACCTACCATTAAGGCATAAAGACGAGCATTAGTTCTTTAGCGTAGCATTTTTTCCAAAAAAATATCTAACAAAAACTCCTTTATCAATTGATTTATTCTTAAAAAGTCGAAATTATCCACAGTTTCGGCGTTTTTAGCGTTAGCTTTTTCTTAGAGCGAATCCTAACGAGCATTCTTGTAATATACAACCTTTAAAGGAATTCTTTGGTGAGCATAACAGCAGGAAACATAGGCAGACGTGCATTGTATACATGTTTAGGCTGGTTTACATGTACGATACACCTTCTAAAAATGGTGGCTAATTCAGTTAGTTTTTTGCGTTCATGATAATTCGCCCTGAATGCCTCTTTTTAAGGAAAACGTTCTTCGAATTCTGCCGATGCAATCAAGGCAAAGAGGACTGATTAACGTACTAAATATAAAAACAAAGTAACATGGCCACCATTTTGGAATAAACTGTGTGCAAGCAGAAAGCATAGGCATCATAAACAGCCAGGTTAGCCCTTTTTGCGGGACAAGACAGGGTAATGTATCTTCATGTGTTGCTTTTCTCCTTATACTCTGTCGTAGGTGTAAACCAGCCTTAATTTGCAGCAAGTGCAGCAGTTCTCTCCTTAGCTTATGTTGCTGCTTTGTTTGTTAATTATTGGCGGAGTATAGTAAAAAGAATAATGAACAGAACACCGAGAAATGCCGGACAAAGCTTCTCAGGAGCGGCTGATGGTTCTGTTGTTGTTGTGACAGAAGAGGTCATCATAGTTGTCATAGACATGGTGGACATCGCATTTGCCATTGTACAGACTGTGTCGCACATAGCCACCGTCTGGTTGTTGTTCGATGCTTCATTATCGGCTGCTGCACAATTAGTGGTGTTCTGTTGCTCACATGTTTGCTGCGTTAAAATAAACAGGAATTCCACAGTCTCAAAGGTTAACGGAACCTCTTTTGCCAGTTATTACGAGGAGGGGGGGTACTCTCTTAAATACCGTAAAAATCCGAAAATAAGCCCCTCCATGTATAAGCCCCTCCAAATGTAAGCCCCCCAAACCGGTAACGCAAAAAACCGTCCGTTAAATCGCCCCTCCAAATATAAGCCCCCCGGGGGCTAGTACTTGGAAAATTGCCCTCAAATACGAAGTAAAACAAAGCAAAAACGGTAAATTTCCTTCCAGCTATAAGGCTAGCCCAATCGATTTTGAAACGCAAATTTCCCTCCGTGGATAAGCCCCTCCGAATATAGGCCCCTCCAAAAATAAGCCCCTCAAAAAGGGCCTTTGAAAAATATAAGTCCCGGGGCTTATTTTCGGAATTTTACGGTAAGTCATATACGTATGTGCCGTATGCTTTTTGTGCCGTTTCGGTCTGAAAACGCGGGTATAGACTTTGCCCATTGTGGTCTACGTTCGGGAAGAGTTTATGAGGGAGCTAATGGAGTGTATTCCAAATGAATAAGAAAGAAACGGTAATATGCGAATTAGAAACGAATTTTACAAAATTGTTTTTTGGCGTTCTAATATAAGTAATAAATATATCCGTAGAACTGTACACAAAAGTTTGAGTGATTTGGCAAGATTCTGCCAACTTCCAAAGAGCGTTGATTTTGTTTTACCCTGATTTAGTATAAGCCTGCTACTTTCCATCCATTGTGCAACTTGATTTAATTCATCCTGTATTACCCTAGCTATGTTCGTTTGGGAAGTGTTCAAATTCTCCCTGCGCCTGACCTAGATATTACACCTAAAGTCTGTGTCGTTGTTATACGTACACTCTATTTAAACCAGTCATAGATAGCATCAAATAAAAGGAGACCGTAAAACAAATAGATCAGAGTTCTTCCAGATAAATAATGTATATAATACAATACGCAAAAGATTCTCTTACCATCTCAAGGCAACCCAGAGTATATGTCGTGATGCTAGCGACCGTTATTGAAGTATTGTAACAGCTAGAGTTATCGTACGAGCACTGTTTCATCATGTACTGGTCCATCATATTACACCAATGAGTCATGTTCGGTGTGCACTCCCAACACCATACCGCTCCCAGGGCTTAAAAAAGATAAAATCAAAACTGAAATTAATTTTATCATAAGTGCGGGAGGACAAAAAAGTAATTGTAACAAACCACGCTGTTTATACTTTGTTCGCGAAACTTCGAGGTATCCAACAGTAAAGGACGCGCAAGGCTGCTCCAATATCAGAGCAAAGTGACTTCAACAATTTAGATTAGGGCCTGTCTACTTGGAGGTGGGGGGACCCCAGGAAGGTGAGGTAACCCGCCTGTCCATACAATCCCTCATATGGTCACCTCACCTATGACGTAAATGTAATCAAATTTAAGATGAGAGATTGTATGGACAGGCGGGTTACCCCACCTAAGCAGGTTACCTCACCTACCTGGGGTCCTCCAGGTCTTTTTTTAAAAATTAATGTTCTAGTTTCACTCTCCTCGACTTTCTAAAAGAACCAATCAACTAAACTATTCGTGTCCTTTTAAACTTCTTGAGAAAGCATGAAGGTGAGACTCTCATCAGTCTGTACAAGTATTTCCCAGGAAATCAAAGTTGCGACGATCGCTATAATCGATGAAACGACGATCTCAGAGTTAGTCGTGCGATGACAGCAAAGAGAAATCAACCAAAAAAGCAATGCACTTTCAGAGTGTTTGTTTTGCTTATTAAACATACTATTTCTCTCTCTCTCTTTTTTTGTTTCTCTCGTCGTCTTTTTGGTTGCTAGAGCTCGCTAGTAGCGCTAGCGACGATTTGATGGAAACGCGCGACGAAGGCAATACTTCCGTAGGTTAGAGGCTCATTAAGGTGGCCGCAGCCACTTAATGCAAGTTGCCTTTTAATAGACCTTTTTAGCCTGTGCTTTTGTTATCCCATCTGAGATTATGTAATTAATGTATGTTACCCCCAAAAAACTGTTTTTTTTTTTGTCAAATGTCGTCCTAGTCACAACCAAACGGTATGTATGCAAAATTTATGTAAAGAGAAAGGCAAATTCCCTTTAAAACATCTCGTGGTCTGAATTGGACAAACAAAAGAAACAAGCCGAAAAAGTTCATAGACCTGTAGTGTGACCATTGGTCATTATGGTTTTTGTTCTTTTGTTTTACGTCATCTGTGTCCCGTACACTAAGTAAATGCCACGAAACCTCTTTGGCGGCATTTTGACGTGGTACTATTTAAGCTTATTTGTTTTGCTGCAGTATTTTGTAAAATGAAATTGGAAAATTATGTTGAATTTTGACTTTTGCTTTCTTTGGAAGTAAAGTGTTAAAAGGTGGTCGCTTTATAGAAGTTCTACTGATTTTAATTTTCAGTGTAAGTTTGTAAACACTGTGTAAACTACTC